TGAACTGCAGAGAGGTTAAGTTAAAAGCAGAAAAGATTCTGTAAATTATTAGGACATCACTAGAGACTTCATAAACTACAGAACCATTGGAATGATAGAGGTTGAGCCAAACTGGAAATCACCCACACTACTGTGTGTGGTTGTAGTCCATTTTTAAATTGTGGTATAGCATCCATTTTATGATTAGACCACATTTTTTTTAACAAATCCATTCTATTATGGATGGACTTTTGAATGGTTTCCCACTTAGGACTACTATAAAATAATGCCATTATGAACATACTTGTACATGCCCTGGTAGACGTATGTGTGCCTGTGGTAAATGCCAAGGAGTGGAGTTGCTGGGTCATAGGGCAAGCATATGATTCACTGTAGTGGATACTTTTGAGTTTCCCAAAGTAATTATACCAATGTCCATCCTGCCAATAGTGTATGAGAAGGCAAGGCGCTTCACATGCTTACCAACACTTGGTATTGTTGGGAGTTTATTTGGTTTTTGTTGTTGCTGGATTTATGTTTTTCTTTAGCCACTCTGGTATATGTGGTGGTATAAAATTATTGTTTTAATTTGCATTTCTTGGATGACTAATGATATTGAGCACTTTTACATTTGCTTACTGTTTGTTTCAAGATATTATTTCGTGGAGTATGTATTTGTTACTTGCCTATTATGTAAAATTAGATTATCTTTTTATTGCTATGTAGGAATTATTTATGTACTCAATGTAATTTGTCATATATATGTATTGCAAACTCTGTGGGTTGCCCTTGTGACTCTTAATGGTGTATTTTGATGATGGAAGTTTTAATATAGCATAATTTATTATCTTCCCTTAGCTTTAGTGCTTCTTTGCCATACTAAATCTTTGCCTACCAAGATCCAAAAGATATGCTATCTTCTAGAAGTTTTCTTTCACCTTTCATATTTAGGCTTAGGAGTTATCTCGAATTGATTTTTGTACATGGTGTGATGGGATCAATATTCTTTCTTTCCCCTTTAATATGTATATCCAATTGATTCCACACCACTTATTGAAAAGACCACACTTTTCTAACTGCATTGCAGTGACATCATTATTATCAACTCTAAATTCCATGTTTAGGCTGATTTCTGGACACTCTATTTCATTGGTCTATTTGTCTAGCCTTGTGCTAATATCACTGCTTTAATTACAAAGCTCTACAAGTCTTAATATCTGGTGATCTAGTCTTCTAACTTTGCTTTTCTGTTTTAAAATGGTTTTAGCTATTTTTAACTTTCTGCATTTCCATACAAATTGCCAACCCTCTCCTAGTGGTGAGTGAAAAAGGGGAGAGAGATATAACATTTAAAAATATAGATTTTTTTAAAAATCCAAGAAAAATAACATATTGAGTCAATGAACAAGACAGTGTGCTTAAAAAGTTAATACATAGGTTGGAAAATAAAGTTATGAATATTCCTCAGAGCAAAAGCAAGATGTTAAACAGAGGAAATAAGCTAATAATGTAGGAGATCAACACCTGAATAACAGAAATTCTAGGAAAAAAAGACAGAGACTAGGAATAGGGGATTATCAAAGAAACAAAACACTAAACACTTGAGGATTTCCAAGATGAAAAAAGAATAATTAACAACAAAGAATGAAAAAGATATAATTCAGTGATCATCCCAAGGAAAGTAGAAAACTACAGAATTAAAGAGAAAATCCTAAATCTTCCAAAGGAAAGAATTATTCTGCATCAACCATCAGAACTACTCATCAGCAATGCTGAAAGCTAAGAAAAAGTAAAGCAATGTTTTAAATATTCTGAGAAAAAACTTACTTTCCAACCTAGAATTCTAGACCTAACCAAACTAGCGATGAACAAGAAAGAATAGACTTTTCTGACATGGAAAATCACAAAATTTTACCTCCCAAGTACCTTTTCAGAGAAAACACCCAGAAGATGGGTTCACCAAAATGATCAAGAATGAGGCCAGAACGCAGAAGATTCAAAGTAAAAAAGCAAAGGCACGCCCTGGAGGACTATGCAGCACACCTGGCCAGGAACTAATTCAGAAGAAAAGGAAAAGGGCCTAAAAGAGCTCTCGCACAGAGAAAAGAAATATTATTAATAGAGCAGAATGTCTTGGTATGTTGAACAAATGGAAAATAAAACATTTTTACATCCTGTGGCACATTTGTTAATTTCAGAAAGAACGAAAAGTTGCACCAGGAAATTGTAATCATAATCTACTAATTGTTATTAGCTACCAGAGAATAAATGTCATAAGTTAAACAATGGATATTATTCTAAAAAAATTTATTTATCACTATAGAAGTATGGAAAGGAGGAACTTACGTGGGCCTTTCCTAAACAGCAAGTTCACAGAGAACGATAACCAATAATAAATGAAGATGTAGTAGAACACAGCTGTCCTTTAAAAAGATGGAGGTAAATACCAGAAACAACTGCTAAAAAAGTTTGGGGAGAGGGACTCAGGGGGTGGGATAGAAAGGAGTTAGAAATGGTATTTTTCATTCTGAGTTTTATAGTATTATTTAAAATATCAAACTATGTACATGTATTAATTAGATAATAAAAAATACATATTTTTTTCTAAATAAGGATAGTAAAGTAAAGATAGGGAC